GTGTGTGTGTGTGTGTGTGTGTGTGTGTGTGTGTGTGTGTGTGTGTGTGTGTGAGTGGGTATGCATGACTAAATAATGCACACTGCAAAGGGCACGGATCAATCTCTTTCTCTTTTATGTGGTGGAGAGGAGGGGAGTTTTGTTACGGCAGAACAAAATGTGCTCTTTGATGGCAAGTTTGAAGATGATTGCACATGATCTGCAAAGTACTTTGGAGGGCCTGGGGAATGGAAAACAGCAGCAACAGGGGACTCCCTTTAGTTGTAGCTTTGCCTTCGTTTTCTTCCAGCTCTCCTTTTAATTTGCCAAGTCTCATCTTGCTCTTTCCCCTTCCCTCTCTTCTTCCTCCTCTTCCATTTCTGAATTTCATTGCTAGCAATGCTACCATGGAGTCTATCTCTGCTCTTTTGGAGACGACCTGTTCTTGTTCTATGGCAGTCGTTCTCAAACTTGGCAACTTTAAGACTTGTGGACTTCAACTCTCAGAATTCTCCAGCCAGCAGAGCTGGCTGGAGAATTCTGGGAGTTGAAGTCCACAAGTCTTAAAGTTGCCAAGTTTGAAGACCTCTGATCTAGGCCTCACAACCATTGTTGTAGCCAACCATTCTTTCACTTGCCTTGACAACAAGAAAAAGCTAGATGGAACATTTTCTTCTTCTGCCCATGGATATAACTTTCTTCTATCCATTAAAACCGTAGGAGATTATGATTGTAAGCATGTTTGCTCAATAGTAGCTACCACTACTTTCTATTTCAAGCAGTAAGCTTGGACTGGAATTACCAAATATACTTGCAAGAAAGTCTCTTATTTATGCCATGTTGTTTTGAAACTTTCTTTTTAATTCCTCTTTCTTGCTTTCTTTTACTCAAAAAGCACAACCAACAAAGCAACCTCAACAACTTGCATGCATGGTTGCATTAGTGCAAGGCTCTCCTTCAGTCTGTATTTTCAAAATATAATATCTGATTACACAGTAACTTGGCGAAGTCATAATTACTGAATGAAAATACAGGTGGAATAAAAACTAATATGAATGGGTGCCTTTAAAAAAAAAAACACAATAGAAGAATTGAAGGACGGATTTTTAGCCACACACACACAAAAGCTAGGTCAGCTTCTTCTTTCCCAATCAATTCCTGTGGAGATGCATAGAATGGATAAAAATTGGAAGACGTAAAATGCAGGATAGACCTACTTTACTTAAAGCAGTGTTTCGCAGTCTTGATGAAGTAGAATAAGGACTTCAAATCCAACATCTTAAATCCACCACTGTTGAGAAATATTGACTCAAAGCAATAATATATTACCCTTCAGTATAATATATTCCATGATGATTCACTATAAAGTACAACTATATGATTAAAAAACTGTTTTCAATTCAGAATTTGCCAGAATTTCAAAACTAATCCAGATAGCCAAATAGAAGCTCTCTTGTTCCAATCTTTAAGTGTATCTTCTTGTTTCCATCAAATCTTTAAAAAAAACAACGGGTTTTGTCTAAAAATCTCAAGATTTGAAGAAAATATTTCTAGTGGAAAAGACAAAAATAACACAGAACATCATCAATGGAAAACCCATCGCTTTTGACTATTGATAGTTATAGTTATAGTTTTATTGATTTGTATGCTGCCCACTCCTGAAGGACTCTGGGCGGCTTACAATAAAACAAGGGAGGGGAATAATACACAAACAACATTAAAATATACAACAGTCACAATCTCTGGGGGGGCTGAATATTACGAGAGCCACCCGGCCTGCTGGAGCAGCCAGGACTTCACAGCTTTGCGGAAGGCCGGGAGGGTAGTAAGTGTCCGGATCTCCACGGGGAGATCGTTTATAATAGTAAACAATGTGTGCATTCAA